AACCCATCATAAATCAAATCCAGTTGATTCATATACCCCAGAGAACATTTAACCATTAGAATCACTGATCCAACACCCAATAGTTTGGATATATATATATTATTTATTTTAACACGTAGATATTGGTACAAAGAGACACCAAATACATATGCGCCACACAAATCTCATTTGACTTGTGTGACGGCTATGATACTCCCTGGGTGACCAAACCGAAGCAGGTGGTTCTCTTAGTAGGCCACACCCGGAGCCTTCGGCCTAAAGGTCTGATCCACAAGGCAATGGAGCATCGTGAGGAGATGCAGTCCCATGGTAGCCGGTGACCAACGATTGGTTCATACGCCATTTGTTCCTTCAGGATACTGGAGCCCATGTGCACCATTGGTTTGGAATCAGGGTTTTCCAACTCCCCTAGGTGGACTATCCATGTCCACCAACCCGGTTAAAGCACCGGACATTTCGCAAACAACACCCTCGCCACGAGAAGGCAGTGAGTAGGACTTCCCTGGAAGAGGCTATATACGCGTGGCCATGTGAGAGCATTTCGTGAGTGAGAGTGGACTCTCCCCACTCTCGGTCGTACCAGAGCAGTACTATACAACCATCTTTCAAGCCAATATCTCTTCATTTTCAACAGTTATTTAAGATGAGTATATGATACATCTCTTTAGCCCCACTTTTTTTTACCATTAAGCATAAATTGTTTCTTTTATTCTATATAATCAGAATTTATTATGTTAGCCATTAATTGATTAAAACTATAGTTTCGTAATCATATATTGATTAACCTCCCCCTTCTTTTCTACTCCTTATCAGTTTTTATTTCTAAGTATAAGTTGTTGTTCTGTGTGCAAAAAAAATTGAAAACATCCACATCACGTGGTCTGCTATTAAGTATATTCTTTTTTCTTTACCAAAGATTAGATTATGATATATATATATACATGAATGATTAAATACCGTCGGTAAAATTTGATGAACATAAGAGATGTCTTATTTCAGTTGTAAAGGTTGGATTTCGGTAGTGATGGTTGTGTGTAGTGATAATGATGATGATGATAATAATAATAATGAAGAGGAAGGTGGGTGAGGATGAAAATGAAATGTTCAGATAACAAAAGACTCAACACTTTAACAACCACGATGACAACAACAAATGTTTTATTTTCAAACTATGACTATTTAAAGTATTACTCATTCATTCATTGTATATATCATATTATTATTATTATATAAGTAACGCTATGTGTTTATAACCAAGGTAGATAAAGAGAGAAAGGAACAAAATCTAGTCAGCAATTTTAGGCTTAGAAAGACTGGAAATAAAACATGCACACAAAGGAGAGAGAGAGAGAATAATAGTAAAATTAAATGTTTCAAGTAGTATAGAAAACATAACATATAATTATCAGTCACTAGCCTCTCTAATTTATATACTGTTTTCACTGTAGAAAATCTATTTTCACAGTAAATGTATGTTATATATATATAGTTGGACTGACGATTAGAACAATCACATTGTATAGTTAGAAAATTATTTTAGACTAGATTACATCCATAAATTATTTAATCCAATGTTTAGTTACTATGACAACAACAATCGAGTCCTAACACGAATATTGATGTTATTTAATCTGTTTGTCGTTAAATTATTATAACCCTTATTATTATTATTATGTAAGAATTCGGATGAGTGTGACATTGATATGCTTTCAGAAATTATTTGAATAACAAACTCTAGAGTGATTGCGCATTGTTATTTTGCCCGTTAAACTATAATACTACAGGAGGGGAGGAGATTAACAAATAACAACATTAAATTCACTAAGTGATTTTAGAGCCATTTTATTAGTCAATAAGCAAAAAATCGGCACAGATCCTAAGTATTTAGTGAGAGAAGTAATGAAGATTTCTTATCTGATTTGAATAAATTTTCATATCTCAATTAAGTCAGTTATGATCAGTATAAAGCTTGGCACATGTATACGTTGGCCTACGTTGCCATACTATATGGAGATAACTAGACCATGATTAGAATGGGGGTTTGTGGAGATCGTAGTAATTTTAATAATTGAATTCATGAGTCTATGTAAGCTAGACCTCCGTGTATATACTCATATAAGGGATAAATTTTTGCATAAGATCATTGGTCGATTACACTTAGATTTTAGCTATTTTGGGTGTCGACTCAGTGGTCTAAAGGTTAAGCATTTGCACACATAACCAAATGTCCCTGGTCCGAGCCCAACTTGAGGGCCCGTGGATGTGAACTACTGAGGAGTCCCATTCTAGTACGAAACGGCTACCCGTTGATTCCAAGTTTTCAATATTGGTCTAGCTTGCATCGACTCATGAATTCAACTATTAAAAATAACTAGATCAGTTTAAAAAGACGAATCTGAATGAAATTATAATAATGTAGCTGAATTAATTAACATTGAAAATATAATTTGAAAAGATTGAACAAAAGGTTATGCCTGAAGGAATACTCTAATTCGAAATAGAATAATTCACTCTCTACAAACCTTTCACACTAATAATAATCATGTTCTCACAGGTGACTAGTTTCAGGAGGTAACTTCGTGAGTTGTAGTGAAAAGCCGAGAACAATAGAGTTCACTCCGTTTCGGATGTGAGACAGCTGTCCATCGAAGGGAATGAATGAAAATTGCGCAACACCCCAGAGTAATTCAGTTTAGATATTGACGTCACTAGATCACAACTCAGTGGTTTAGAGGTCAAACATTCTTGATCGTAACTAAAAGTCCTGGATGGGTACTTCTGAGGAACCAAATTGAAAGACGAAACGGGTATCCAGTGGCTTCTGACTTTTAACATTGATCCAGCAAAGATCAGTTTGTGACTTTAACTTTCAAAATCTGGAGTTAGGTAATGAGCGAATCCATCCATACCATTGTAATAATTCTGACCCATTCCACTCAATATCTCCAATTTAGGTTAGAAGTTAACCGGGTATTTCCAATCAACCAAAATGTCTCAGGTCCACGGTCACTGACACAATGAACAGATCCTATATCTTGATTTAACTGCCCCTAATTTTCTTCAAACCTACTCCTACACTAAATAACATCGCCCACCGATGCAGGTAGTGGTTCTGCATAAATAATACATGTTTCTACCGCCTTGGTCGAATTTACCATCTGTGTCAAGTACCTTTTCTTCCTTCTTAAGTAATAAATAATAATGTCATAGTTTGCGAAATTAACCATGTTACGTGTAAATCAGCTACTCACCTATGAAATTAAATAATGATTATCCTGTATATATATATATATATATATATATATATATATATATATATATATATATATATATATATATATCAATAATAAAACTCTATTTGAAACTGCGGATTATCATCGAATTCTACTCTAACAGATAAATATTAATCAGTTCTCTAGAAATGGTCTATATGTGTTTACGTAGGAGCGAAGTTGTAATATCGAATACTCGCCAAAATTTAACCAAACTGATATTAATTTTAATAGTTGAAACCATGAGTCAGTTGAAGCTAGATCACCATGGAAAACCTGGAAGCACTAGGCAATCGTTTCATCCTATTCTGGGACTCCTAAGCATTCCGCATCCACGATCCCACCTCGCGAGATTTGAATCCACGACATATCAGTCTCGTGCGCGGGCGCTTAAACTCTAGACCACTCAGCCGGTCAGCATTCAACGGTGTTAATGTCTAACTTCAACCAATCCACGAAATTGATCGACACATCCACCATTGTCTTCAGTGAGTTACTATCTCACAACAGACCCAGTTGAACTCCACTAGTCACTGATGATTAGAATAAACATTACCCAAATAATTAAACAAATCAAATAACTGTCAGTAGATTAACTTATATTAGATCAATGCAAATATGTTTTTATTAAGTATAAATAATTTATGAAAATGATTAATTTACAGAAACAACAGATTTAAGATTAACATTGATTTCATTCTTTTTACTTGTATTCACTTCAATAGTGAAACTTAAAACAATCCTCCAGGGGGGCGGGATCGTGGATGTGCACTGCTGAAGTGTTCCATACTAGGACGAAACGGCCGTTCAGCGCTTTCAGGTTTTCCATGGCGGTCTAGCTCCCATTGACTCATGAGTTCAACTGTTGAAATTACTAAAATCTCCATAGAACTCCTCCTGACAAAGTAATACTAATTTTTAAAGCATAATACTGTAGTGAACGCGAACACAAGTGGGAGAAAATCGGATGTTTTTGAAGACAAAATTGCAGAATATCTTACTAAAATCTGAGAATCATACAGTAAATAATTAATTTATAAAATATCAATCAATTATCTCAAACTTGACTATTTCTTTTGAGAATATCAGTCCATAGTCTCACATTTCATTGTTCCTACGTTTTCATACAAATTGCTTCCTATTCTCGTTCTTTCTTTCTCAATCTTCTGCAGCCAGACATTTTAATTCTGACTATCGTTATATACTACTCATGTCGATATAAGTAACTCACACCACTCTATCTTCAAAATGAATAAAATTTCTATACAAAAAGTCTTTGTGTAAATATAATAAATGAAATTATATTTTAGAAAAATAATTTATTTACATACTTTCAAAAAGAAATTAGTAAAATAATCTATATGTAAATAAAGAAAACAATCACTGTACAATATATATATATATATATAGACAGATGTATATACTGGTAAGCTTTGTTCCATTCTTTCTCGAACTGTTGCATATTCCATGACAACAATTCATAGATATCATTCATTTGTTGTTTCTTCAATACCATCAAATGAATCAATGAAATCCATTCTTTGAAATTCATAAATTACTCACAATTATCATATTCATTAGTCATAATTCAAGCACTTTATATAATGTGCTTACCAAGTTGTTGTTTCTATAATTGACAATTGATTCTTTCTTGTTTCATTCAAGAGTTATAATGGAAAAGTTAAACTTTGTTTCATTAAAAAAAAAATAATAAAAGACACATTTGGATCATCTTGTAAATCGTTTGATTAAGAAATAACTACAAAATATCCCAATTGTAATAAATAAATATTTATTTGATTTATGTAAAATGTGTTTTTGTTTCCAACTATGTTTTTCTTTTTTATCATGATGTTGCTTGTTTTCTTCATTCATTGATTTGAGCTTTAAGAAGAAAAACGACAAATAAACAAATGAACAGATAAATGACTACAAAATTCATTGTATTTTACTCGTAAAATAAATTATTTTTAGAAAGTTATTTAACTTACTCATTTATGCCTGTTACCCCTTGTGTAATAACATAGGCCACCCACCAACACTCTCCATCCAACTCCGTTCTGGAAAATCCATTCCAGTTGCTATTCATTATTTTCAAGTCTGCTTTCAATTATTGGAACAGTGTATTCTTTGGCCTTCCTCTTTTCCGTTTCCTTTCAGGATTCCAGGTAAACGCTTGCCTCGTAATGCAGTTTCGCGATTTCCTCAATGTTTTTTCTATCTATTTCCGGTGTCTTTTCCTGATTTCTTTTTCAGATGAAACCGGGTTTGTATCACGTATCACGTTAACGGGCATTGAGTATTTGGTGTAGACAGTTGTTTAGAAATAGTTATGCTTCTTTGATGATGGTTGTGATAGTTCCCCATGTTTCAGCTCCGTACAGTAGAACAGTCTTGACGTTCGGACTGAAGATTGTGATTTTGATATTGATTGAAAGTTGTTTTGAGTTCCATATGTTCTTCGACTGTATGAATGCTGTTATTTTTTTGCAAATCCTCGCTAATGTAACTGATATATCACCATTATCCCCTGTGTTTTGCATTTATTATTTCAGCCAATTTGATGTTAAGTAATTGAAGGTGGTCGGTTGGTAAAAAACTTGAGGTCAATGCTTCAAGTTGGTTGACAATTGTCAGTATAGTATCCTTGCACTTTTAAAGGGATTAATACTCCTAGTGGAACTCTAAACCTGTTAACTACTTTAAACCATGTAAGATCAGGATATCATGCACAGATTGCCTAGTCACTTAGACTATATTATAATAGAGCTCAATTAATAGTAATGAACCGGACAAGTATAAAATTGGTTACTACTCAGTTATAAATTAATTTCAGTTGATTTTATGTATCATTTAATCATCATTCAATATTAGATTAATAAAATAAAGAACATGAATACTGAAAATTATGTTGAATCATATTAAAATAAATCACATCTATGATGTAATTGACTCATCACTTTATTGTCCTTATTCACATTGTCAAATGAACTGAAAAGTTGTGTCAGAAATCTTCTCATTTCTAATTGTTTATTTGTTTGTACATTGCATAATCACTTGTGATAATGATAATAATAATAATGATAATAATAATATACCTTATTATTACATTTATGTTTCATTGAGAAAAGTTAATTCCTTTTTAATAATGATTACCATATTGTATATTTATACAAGTTCACAGGTTAACTTGTGATTTATACATCAGCACTAAAAGACGTACAATAAACTTGCTATTTATTTCTGTTTTTAAGTCTATAAATAAATTACTCTGTGATGGTGGAGAAGATTTGTAGCTCAGGTGGATGATTTTGGTGGAGTTTTGTTCTCTGAGCTGGATAGGGTCTTGTAATGATACTTATGCTAATGCACATACACATATGCACAAATAGGGCGTAGACCTATACTTCTTATCAATATTATGCGTTATTATTATTATTACTGTCTTATAGCCACAAAATTCCAACCCGCATAACGTTTTAAACAAAAACAAATTTGATTCCAATTTAGTGAAGTTTATGCTGAGGTCATTATCATCTTCATTACCTTGTATGTCGAATTTCTCTTGTGTGTTTTGTTTTGTGTATATAAATATGTGTGTGATTTCAATAATTTGTCAGTCTGTTTGTAGACTTTTCGATTTATTCACATTTTAAAAAGTTTCTATATAATTCTAACAAGTTTTCTATAGAAAAATAAAGTAGGGAGATGGTGACAATGATGTTGATGACCTTAAAGGATAGATAATAATAAGTGGCTGACGAATTTCTTCAACATATTCATTCATATATATATATATATATGTATATATATATATATATATCATCATCATCATCATCATCATCACAAAACACCTCTCACCGTCCCACCTCACTTCATCTCGTCTCATTATCATCATTATTTAGTATATCTCAAGTGATTAAAGATATATATAGTTGTATGTATGTCAAATTCTATCAAATAATTTTTCATACACACAAACAAACACATACTCTCTTTATGTATAATATAGGCTTCCCTGTGGTGTTATCATTGCTACTACTATGACATGGATAATAATAATAATGACTCATCTCCTTTTTTCATCCCTTTTCTATTTTTTATAAACCATGTAGGTTTATTTAATAAAATTGACAAAAACCACCTTTATATACTATTAAAACTATCCATCTTTTCTTATTCCAGTTTAGTGTTAAGTTTAATGATGGTATAAATAGAGCAAAAATTGAAGAAAAAAAATTTTTTTTTGGTCAACAAATTAATAAATAAATAAATAATTAAAAATCCCAAATAGAAATATGATTAATTTTCTATGAAAATTAACACAGTTCAATTGTAAAATCTAATTATATCTTTATTTAATTGTAAAGATAGTAGTGATGATATGAGATCGTAACTGATTGAAGACAATGGTAGATGTGTTGCTCAATCACGTGGATTAATTCTATGCCGACTTAGTGGTTTAGAGATTAGGTGTTCGTGCAAGAGATCGATAGATCCTGGGACCGAATCTCGCGAAGGTAGAATCGTGGATGCGTACAGTAGGACGAAACAGTCGTCCAGTGCTTCTAGGTTTTCCATGACGGTTTAGCTTCAATTGATTCATGATCTCAACTATTAAAGTTACAATGAGTTTTATGACATCATTGAATTCTGAAGATAAATTAATGTGATTCATAGCGTTGCGTAATTCTGATTATTTTCAAAGGCAATTATTTCGCCTTTGTATGAGATTCATCAGCAACGAGTATACATGACCCTGACAAGAATCGAACTGAAATCCTTCAAATCTCTTAACAAATGGTTAAACTACTGAGTTTAAATTCAATAGTTCAGAGTTCAAAAACTTAATAAATTCACCCTACATCGTGAACATTATTGATGATAAAATGCTTTACTCTCTATATGATTAAAGTTATTACAACTAACAATAATTTTCATTTTACTATTGACTTGTAGATAATTATGTTAAGTCAATGAAAATTTTATGGTTATCATTGAACATTTACAGAGCTTTACAATGATAACACACCACATATTTGTCTTCATAACTGTTAAATCGATATACTTCACAGTGATTCTCATCAATACTTAAAATTAACAAGAGAATTTGTAAGCAATGATGGATAGTGGCTAGTAGTGGAATCCAGGACACGCGTTTCTTCCTATTTGGGACTCGTCACTGCTAGCCACTATTCATCATTGCTTACAAAAAGCTTGTGAATTAAGGCAATATCGAGGCATACGCACAGTATGCACATATACCAATAAGAGACTGATCAATTGCAGTCTTAAACCTCAATGGGAAGATACAAGCCAAACAATACCAAGTGAATTAACTAGAGAATTCTTGAAAAATAGGAATGATAGTTGCTTGTGTTAATCCATAGTTTACAACTTCCCAATAATTTTTCACTGACAAATATAACTAAGAACACAATACTTCGGATCTCTTGAATGCACATTCTGTATTTCAAATAGTTTCTAAAATGATGTAATCATATGTCGCTTTATTGATTTAATTGACCCTATAGAAAATGGAGTTTCATTAAAAGTTCGCGAAATAATCCCCAAAATCTATTGTATTTATTTAGATCGATTAAGCATAAATAAACTTTCTTTTTGAAAATTTTTTTAAATTAAATTACCTTATTATGGATGACTGAACATTGAAAAGATCCATAATTCGATTGAGAAATTCTTTCACATTTTCGTTTTAACTGATTATCATTGAATTCATTGTCAATTTCATCTGCAATTTTGATTAATTGTTGTATGATTTTATGTTCAATTGCTTTCTGTACATTCATAATCATTTGGTTACTAAGAAAAAAATATAAGTAGTAAATAAAGTAAAGTTGAAAAATTCTTAAACTATTAGATGAGACTATAATTTATGGACGACTTTTGAGCGACTCTCGGCTGACCTTGAAAGTGTCCACCTGATAATTAGCACCAAATGGGGGTTATAAATTAGTGTGAGGAATTCGAATTATGATCTACAGTTGACGGTTAAGGTTAAGAATTAGATTTAGGGTTTTCACCAGGAACTGACATCAGCTATAATGTCAAGACTCTATTTAGCCAAATGGGTGAGTGAATTTCACGCCAAACCGAGACCCGCTATCTTATACTTGATTGTTTCATCTATAAATTATAGTGTCGCCAATTATTATCCTTGGGGATGTGTATTTTTCGTAATAATAAAAAAAATTTTATAACTCAGTTGTATGCATTTTATTGCTATTGAATTTCGAAAACTGAATGATCTTTTGAGAAGTTTTCATTACTTTCGTAGAAAACATTATTAAGTACGAGCGAGACTTTTGGAAAATTATTCAATGCGTGAACGTCATTGGGTTCGAGCCCAGAGATGAACATCTACTCGGGTACAGTTACATCCAGTTTGAGAGTCTCAAACAAAGTGAAATGCGTGTTCTGGATTCCAATGCTAACCATTATCCATTCATTTGTGCTTAAAATATTTGTGACTTAGTGGTAATATCAAGGCAGTCGGAATGGAATGCACATATCCCTAAAGAGATTAGTCAACTGTAGTCCTAAGCATCAACGGGAAGATCCAAACAACCAATATATATGAATTAAAACTATTTCAGTTCGTTTTAATGAACGACTTCAATATTTTTCTAGTAATGAAGAATTTGCCACTGATTATCAGTAAATCTTTCTGGCATTTTACTCTAATAGTTTGATTAGTGGAGAATCACCTACAGCTTATTAAATGAAATTAAGAGAAAATTAGAGTTACCAAAATTGAGTTGAACAATTTAACATGATCAAGTATGATAGGATAAAGAAGTGAATTTTATAGCTTTCTAAGTTTAATACCTATGGTTTTAAAATATAGACTGATGAGGTACTGGCTTGATACTAACGTACGACGTTACTAAGAATTTTAATGATATGTAGTGTTGATAATTCATGATCTTACATAGCTTATCATTGTCAATTAATAACACCGACTTCGTAATAGCTACTTATAAGTAGTAAAACATTTATTGAATAAAATAAAGAAATATTTTAAATTGATGGTTCGATTACAGTTTATACTTATAGTCGATTGCCTTATCTTTAAAACAACGACTAGTTGATTTTAGTTCCCAGTGTAAGCACATCGTTAACAAACATAAGTGTTATTATTCCACTTGTTCATATGTAAGACTATTATAAAGTATCGATTCTACCATTATACATTTTTATGGATATTCACCATAATGTGGTGTTTTACATATACGTATCTACATAAATCTATTGGGTAAATCTCATAGACACATAAAAGTCATATGCTTACTAGTAATTAGTTTTGAGATGAATCCCTTGAATTTTTTTAGTGAAAAGCACCATAATGTATTTCACTAATCAAACAACAATTGGGTTCGAATCTCGCCTGGGGCGGGATTGTGGATGCGCACTGCTGAGGAGTCCCATACTAGGACGAAACGGCCGTCCAATGCTTCCAGGTTTTCCATGGTGGTCTAGCTTCAATTGACTCATGATTTCAACCAGTGAAAATAACAATTGAAACAAAAACCCACATATAAGAAATAGAGCTATAACAAGCATATCTTTATAGTTGAAATTATATCTAATATAGAATTCCAATTCACTGTTCTCATCAATGACCTTGATCTAATCTATTGTCAGGTTATAGCTCTTTATCACTAATTAGTTTTAAATTAAGATAGAACAATTAAACTGATAATATTACTGAATCGAACAAAATTAATATAACTGATTGTTGATAAAAGACTTACTGAATTATTTTAATGATTTAAATCCAATAATCCAAAGATTGATTATATTTTCCACGTTAGTTACAAGTATCTCCTATGTCAGAATTTTCGAGAAGCACGTGACCGAATGATTAATTCATTCATATTCATCTATTTATTTATTTATTATCATGATTAGTCATGTTTTTATGGAAATTATTTTGTTTTTTGTTTTTTTTAGAAGAAAATAAACAAATGCCAAGTTTTCTTTTTTTTGATTGGTTCATTCATTTTATGAGGTTGACCTATACAAATTGATATAGGGGGTGAAAAAAATAGCTTCAGATAGGTTAAGCTTGTAAATTAAGACAATATCGAGGCATACATACAGTATGCACATTAGCTAATAACAGACTGATCAGTTACAGTCTTAAACCACAATGGAAAGATACAAACAAAACAATACCAAGTGAATAAGTTAAGATAGTTAGAAATGTTCTCTTTATATAAGTGAATAAGACAACATAAACAATAAAAAGAAAATTGTGAAAATTAACCAATCAAATTATTATATGATTGTGTCAGTCTTTTTTATTTGTAGTAAGTTTCTAATGTATAATGAAAGCAAATAATTTAAAGTATACCCCCTTTTCATCAACTAGTATATGGACTTGGTTTTTAAGTAGACAAAAAAAGGGAGAATCAATTAATTATTAGGATGAAAAATGATTGTGTAGAGTTTTTTATTCAATGACTGAAAGGGGTAAACATTCACTTATAGTTTAGTACTTTATTTGAAAGCTCGACTTTTTAGTTTTATTTTTACGCGCCTAATACATGTAATAATGTTAGTAATTGATTGTGAGAGAACCAATTGATGTTAGACCACCATTGAAAACCTGGAAGCAATGGACGTCCGTTTCGCCCTAGTATGGAACTCCTCAGCAGTGGTTCAGCAGATAAAGCGTTCACGCGCGAAACTGAAGGCCCTTGGTTCGAACCCCGCGAGCGGGATCGTGGATGCACACTGCTGAGGAGTCCCACACTAGGACGAAACGGCCGTCCAGTGCTTCCAGGTTTTCAGTGATGGTCTAACATCAATCGGTTCATGATCTCAATCAAAAACTTAACAATCTCCACAACCACTATACTGAATATTAGCTATGTTGATTCTTGTAGGGTCCAGCTCAAATTTTTATGTTATCTATTTCTCAAACTAATAGATTTTGTTTTAACTGAATAATTATTAGTATTAACTACATGCACTCAAACGCCTAGATAGAAATTAAGTAATCTGTTCATGAATCTAATTGTCATAAACTGTATTGAAACACCTTTAGTAGTTCCAGTAACCTCTTCTATGTCTTTAGTTTGTATAAACCAAAAACAACCACAATAGAATCCATGTATAAATGTATTATACTGATGAAGTTAGATATTTCACTCGTTGAATGTTGAATCAGGAGTCTAAAGGTTTAGGTCATGCTGAGAGACAATTTGCAAAATGTTCACCAATTGTCCCAAAATGACTCAGACTTCATTGTTCTCGCATTTTCATACAAATTGCATCCTGTTCCATTCTATACTGTTCGATCCTCTTGTCTCTCTGCTGCCAGACCTTCTGTTTACGACTAACATCATATACTACTTATCTTAATATAAGTAGCACACACTACAGTATCATCATCAGAGAGAATTTGAATAATTCCGTTTTGTAAATAATAATGCTAACTGAATTTTTTAAATCAATGTTAGTTAAAGTATGTGTATCCTATGCGGATAGCTTTGATATAGCCAATTTTCACAAATTCCTATAAAATTTGGGAATATTGACAAAATCAAAACACATTTGTTCACGAACTAATGTTTATTATGTAATGTCAACTTGAATAAGTTTAAATGTCGATTTGAGTTATAGGATTAATAATCAGTATAGGATTCAAACCAGCATTTCATACAGTACTACGAATCTACACTACTTCTTACTTGAAAATCTGAGCCGCCAACAAAATAAACACGATTTTATCCATCCATTTTTATACAAATTAAAGGAACCACAAGACAAGAAAGGCTATTTAATTAGAACTATTCATTTTAATTTTCTTATTTATTTAGAATGTGTATTATTTAATTATGAACAATTCAATATATAACTTCTGGAATTTCTAGTAAGAAGTTGGTGCTTATTAAGTCACTCATATAGAGAGATAGAGAGAAAAACTGAAACAGTGACATATGGATAATGTTGGATGATGAGTGTGTTATATTATAAAAAGTAATTTAAGCAGACTAGAGGTCATTCCTACAGAGTAAAGACCAGTGGTAATGGTTCAGACTGTAAAATTGCTAGACTCTGTGAACTCAAATACGACGGGGAATATCAATTCCCGCGAGATCGCAGGTACATCTAGCTGACTACTGTCAGGTTGTAATGAAATATAGGTCCCAGAGATCATTGAAAACTACCCCTAAACACCTAAAATTGGGAGAAACTGGACATACATTTCATAATGGTCCATGAATTTTCTTCAGGTCTCATTCACGACTATATATTGTACATAGGTTTCTATTTTCTCTATGATTCTACATTTATCGCAGTCTATTTTAAATCCAAGTATTAAATAAATAAATTGATTCATATATAATTTCTTGTTTATTTAGTTAGTGGGACTCCAGTTATTAGTCACTATCAAATATAATATATGTACGTATTTTTTATTATAGAATGATATCAACTAGATTAACGGGTGACAAGTACCTAGATGTGATTTACATGATTATTGTGTCAAATAGTTGAAGGCATTTGGTGAAATAGCTTTCAATCAATCTCAGTGGTACAGATGCAGTTATTCTTCATCTTTTTTCTTAGATTTAGAGTTTCAAAATTATTTTATATCTTTCATTCTGTGAATTCATTCATTCTTTCTAAATTATATTGTCTATAACTAGGCTTTTTACTACCAGTGACACTATTATTATTGTTATTATTGATTATTTTTACTTCTGCTACTTTGGTATTCACCTTTACAGTTTCATCCCATTGTCCTGACTTGATGTCAGGAGTTGAACCAATGATACCTCCT